CGCCTGGCATCCTCCGGCGAGAGCGGCGGTGGCGCGACGCACGCGGCGGCGACGCAGCCGATCGGCGTGGCGGCGGCCCAGTAGGCGACGAGGGCCGGCCGGCCAGGCCCGGTGAGGGACGAGAGGAGCCACCGGAGCGGGGCGGCACCGACGAGCGCCTCGAGCCACGGCAGCAGCACGCCGCCTAGGGCGAGGGCGATGCCGCCGACAAGGAGCGCGGCGCGCGCGGAGGGCGAGGCGCGGCCACGCAGCGGTGCAAGGACGGCGGCGGCCGCCGCCGTGAGCGCGAGGCCGCCCGCGAGGACGGCCTCGATACCCATTGCCTCTGGCTCGCGGGCAGTGCACAGGCGCCCCCAGTGCCCCCACGGCGTCGCCGCCGGCCCGCCGGCAGCGAGAGTGCAGCGCGTCATGAGGAGCGCGTCGGCGGAGAGTGCGGCGACGCCCTGCGCCAGCGCGGCCGCCTCGCCAAGCGTGAAGGACCGGCGCACCATCGCGGTCGACCAGGCGAGGGCGGCCACGTGAGTGAGGAGCGATACAAGCGTGATGCCGGGGTCGGCGCCCTCGGGGGCGGCCACGGCCAGCGTCAGCAGCGGCGGCAGCGCGGAGAGCAGCGGCGCGCTCCACCACGGGAGGGACGCCGCCAGCGGTTGCAGCAGCAGCACGAGCGGCGGCTGGACTGCACAGCCGAGCAGCGCCCAGAGGTGCGCCCGGAGGAGCGGTGCCGCCGGCGTGGCCGCACGTACGTTTGCGAGCGCCATCGCGCACAGCAGCAGCGACGGGGAGCAGCAGCCCAGCGCCAGGCCCATCGAGGGTGCGCGCCGAAGCGAGCAGCATCCGAGGCGGCGCACGATGGCGGGTGCCGGGAGGTGGAGGCCGACGGCGGCCGCGCCCAGGCACACGAGCGGAAGCGCCGCCGCCTCGGCCACCCAGCCAATGGCGTGCAGCGGGACGGCGAGCAGCACCGACGCGAGGACGACCAGTGAGGCCTCCACCGCAGAGGCCACGAATCCCGTCGTCATGCCTGAGAGAGGACGGCCGCCGTGATTTCTGTGTTTTCGCAACTCTTTTTTCTCCCTTTCCTCCCTTGTCCGGCCGTCCCTCCGAGCCCACCCGGCGCCCGAGCTCGACGAACGGAGATACGCACGGCTCACGGGAGGTGAACCCGCGTTTACAATATCCGCTTTTTTCATTTCTTGCTCTTCATCAATTCACAAAAACAAGACATCTCTCTCTCTCTCTCTCTCTCTCTCTCTCTCTCTCTCTCTCTCTCTCTCTCTCTCTCTCTCTCTCTCTCTCTCTCTCTCTCTCTCTCAATTCAACAACACGTCTCTTCCACCCGGCGGAATGGAAAACCTGAGCTGTCTCCAGTGCCTCGTCCTTTGCCAGAGGCGCGACGGCGGCATCCAAACAGCTTGCTCTTCTGCGCCAGCTGGCAGTCGGGGGCGGGGGGGGGAGGGGGGAAGGGGTTGTGTGGGTCTGTAGATGCCTGGCTGGCCGCGGTGAGACGCATGAGGTTGTGAAAGGCGCCTGTGAGGCAGACCGCTGGAAATAGTCGGACAGCTGAGAGCAGGCCACAGTCTACTTTCCGCGAAATGGAAGGAAGGAGAGAGAGAGAGAGAGAGCTTTTAGAAAACCAACAAGAAATCACGACTCTCACAGTGATTTGGGCTCGGCAGCTTGTCAGCCCGCAGCCGAAGCTGGGGCCGGTCCCGTAGCCGAGAGAGCCCGCGCCGATGAGTTCGACGCGGTCGGGGGGGCCTGCGGAGGTGCGGAGAGGCCAGCGAGATGGCCTCGAGCCGGGGTCGTCCTCCCGATGGGGGACTACGTAGCGCACTAGCCGTCTTCCACACGGACATGGTCCCTCGGGAGGGGTCCCTGGACCCTGCTGCTCCGAATCTCTTCTCGTACACATCCTCCTGCTGAATCTCCGCAAAGTCCTGCTCCCTCCCTCGTCTCGCCCTGCGCGTCTGCTCTCCGCCTCCCCGTCGTCTGCTCTGCGTCGCCTGGCGACGGGTCCTCCATAGCGCTTAGCGGTTCTAACACAGGTACACAAAAAAGAAACTTGGTTTTTGTTGCGTTATGGAAACAGGGCAGCAAGGAAAATCCACGCCGAGCGATTTCCGCGAAAATTGGTTTCCGCGGCCCGAGGGCGCAAGTCGTGCTTTTGAAAAAGGCGAAATAGCGATTGCGGTGAGGGACCGCAGGTTAGGGATCAACATCACGATCAGTAAGGTGGTGCAGACAGCGGATGGCCGAGCGTCCGGTAGGCCGAACAACGCTCTGTCCTGCCTGGGGACCGCCGAGTTGCCGGCAATATCGCCCAGCCGGCGCGTGCGGCTGGAGTTGATCACCTTCGCCTCTCGCGACTGCCGCAGTGCCAGCTCTTTATGCGTTACTACACGCCGTTCGGCCGGAGCGTCCTGGGCGGGCAGACGCCCGCCCCCGCCCGGCGGCCGACTCTGGGATAGTAGGTCGAGTCTTGGTGGCACGGAGACGGTCACGAGACGGGACGGACGGAACCTCCGGACTCCAGGACGACGCCACGGGACTCTAGGAGAGAGAGAGAGTGTGAAGGGAGTCTGGGCCAGTCGCAGCCGTGAGGCATGCCACAGCAGCAGAGGCACCTCACGTACGGCTCGAGTCGAGTAACCGTAACTCGCTTTGTCAATCTTTTCGGACCTTTGATGTGAGTCAGGTCGGAGTCGTCGGCGGAGTCGTCGACATCGTGGTCGACGGGGTGTGCGAACCGATAGCGCAGTGGCGAGCGAGCGAGCCGAAGGCGCGCGAGAGAGAAATCCCTCGTCGGATTGGTCGACAGGCCAGTCGCAGCCGTGAGGCATGCCACAGCAGCAGATGCACCTCCCACCCATTGGGCGGGCACACAGAAGGCCAGGGCAGCACTGGCAAGTGCAACGCGCCTCATGTCGGAGAGCGACCGTGCCTCGCTCGCCGCTTATGATGTAGAGTTTGTTGTAGAGATTTCACGTTGTAGAGCGCCTCTACATCGCTCTACAACGCAGGCAGTTCGTCATGCGGCGGATGTAGAGCTCTACAGCTCTACAGCGCTCCACAGCGCTCTACATCTCTACAGTTCTACAGCGCTCTACACTCTACATCCTCTACACCCTCCCTCAGGGCGCCACCCTGCTGGGGCTTACCCGTAAACTAACTGTAGTGAGCGTCGGGCTGGTGGTTCGACACCGTCACCGAGATTAGTATTGTTGGCTCAGAGAGGGGGGGGAGGCACGGCCTGCGTAAAAAAGACACTTTTGTGTCGACGAGTATAACTCCTCGCCACTTGCTCCAATGATATCAAACCCTGTATGATTCTGAAAGGTCTCGATGAGAGCTTCACCCCGAGCATAGGTTTCATGGTAGTACGAGCACCAGCACGCAGTCCCGAGATATGGCCTCGAACGCACAAAAAAGACGCAGACCGTAAAAAAGACACGACGTTGGTATAGGTCTCTATACAATATGCACCGACTTTTCTTGCTTTCTTTCTATCCACAAATTCTATCCACACCTGGGTTCCGGCTCCTAGCCAGATAGGGGGTCTGTTGCCTATGACTCGCACGAAAACGCCCTACCTACCTACCTATTGCGGGCGCCAATCGCCAGGCTCCGTGCCCCACCTACCTACCTATTCCCAGGCCGCGCAGCGAAGCGAAAAAATGCCCGTTCTGAGGGAGGGTGTAGAGGATGTAGATAGAGTGTAGAGCGCTGTAGAGCTGTAGAGATGTAGAGCGCTCTGGAGCGCTGTAGAGCAATGTAGAGCTGTAGAGCTCTACATCCACCGCGTGACGAACTGCCTCCGTTGTAGAGCGATGTAGAGGCGCTCTACAACGTGAAATCTCTACAACAAACTCTACATCATAAGCGGCGAACGAGGCACGGTCGCTCTCCGACATGAGGCGCGTTGCACTTGCCAGTGCTGCCCTGGCCTTCTGTCTGCCCGCCCAATGGGTGGCAGGTGCCTCTGCTGCTGTGGCATGCCTCGCGGCTGCGACTGGCCGGCGCCTCGGCGCGTCAGCTCGGCTCGGCGTAGCGATCGTGGCCAGCGCAACTCGCCTGGACTCAACGCTCAGCCAGGAGCTCCCGCACGCGCTGGCGCGAGTCATGGCGCATGCAACGCGTCTAAATGCTCGCCTCGCTCGCGCAAATGCGACCGTCCTCGCAGCCGACAGTCCACCGCCTGCTAAAGAAGCACAGCGACGAATGCGGCACCGGCGACGCATGGCAGGCTGGTCATGACGCAGTTATAGGGTGTTGTGTGCCGTCAGAGTGACTCTCTGTGTGTCAGGGATAGTCAGGGCCGTCCATCAGAGCTCCAGTAAGCTCGGAGACACCCCATTAGTGCGACTCGACCTCTTTGAGTCACTGCCTTCCCGGCGGTTTGGCTGTAGAGCCTCTACAACAAACTCTACAGCAAAATCGCGCTCTACATCGCTCTACAACGGAGGCAGTTCGTCACGCAGCCGATGTAGAGCTCTACAGCTCTACAGCGCTCCAGAGCGCTCTACATCTCTACAGCTCTACAGCGCTCTACACTCTACATCCTCTACACCCTCCCTCAGTGCCCGTTAGCCCTCTGTGAATAGGCTCCCAGCGCCCGCCGCGCGCCGGCTTGTACCGCGGTGCGCGCCGCTCGCGAGCCCGCCAGAGCATGGCCTACTGGGCTCTCGAGGCGTTGGACGGCTCCAAAACGGCACTCTCTTCCCTCGACAGAGTCTCCCGCGCAGCGAAGCGGTTTTTTTACCCCCCCCACCACCACCACCTACCTACCTATTGCGGGGCCCTCTGGGGCGGTCAAAACGGACCTATCCACCTTGCCCACGCCGCCGCTACCCTCCACCTTCTTCCCACCGCCGCCGCCGCCGCCCACGCCTCCGCCGCCTTCCATCTCGCCCACGCCTCCTCCGCCCTCCACCTCTCCCATGCCGCCCCCCGGCCCTCCACCTCGCCCACCCCTTTGCCACCACCCTCTCCTCCGCCGCCCCTCGCCCCCACCGCCCCCGTACTCCACCCCTCGCCCTCCCCCCCGCCCTACCAAACCACCCACCGCCCGCCCATGCCGACTTCCACCCTCCCGCCGTCCTCCCCGCTCCCCGCCCCTCCGCCCTCGCCATCCCCCATCTGTGCGTTCCACTCCGTTCGCTCCCTCCCGCTTGGCGCCCATCCCGCCCTCCGCCCTCGCCCCCGCCCCTGCCCTGGCTGGCCTGGGTGGCATCTCCCCATTATCACGCGCCAAGTGGGAGGGAAGTGGACGGGGCCCTGAGCCGACCTAGCCCCAGACGGAACGGGGCGCCAAACACGTGCCCGGATTACTGTGCCTTCCCCGATGCAGCCTTTCGTTC